CATGCAGAAAGAAGAATAATTTACACTTACTTCTTTCAAAAAGTCTGCCACGCCTTTCCTCTCAAGACATTTAAAACCCATTGTACCAAAAAAATTCAAGCACATGTTCACAGGGACCCTGGTACACAATGTGTCCATCAGAGAGTAGAATTATGTCATCAAAAAGATTGAAAAGCTCAGGTGCTGGCTGCAGGAGTGAGATCACAGCAGTTCCATTGAGAAAGTGGACACATTGCTTCAGTGATTTCACAACTTCAAAAGTTGTTGAGCTATCCAAACCAGTGGATATTTCATCCATGAATAGTGCTTTAGCTGGTCCAACCAACATCTCCCCTAGATTTACAATTATTTTTTTTAAAAAAAGTATTACATAAATCGATTTCTTGAGTTCACTAAACTTGATATATTTCAAGATCAAATAAGAACAAGCCTATTTTTTTCCTGTTGTTACACGTTTCCTTTGCCCACCAGAGATACCTCTTAACATTGCATTTCCCACAAAAGTATCTGCACAACTCTCTAGTCCCAAAATCTAAAAAAAAAAAAAAAATTCAACGAGAAATTAACACACAAATTTATATTGACTTTATGATGATCAGAGAAGGTTTTGAGTGTATGAATTTTACCCTCTAAAAATAATCTGTTAAAAGATTAACTTCCTGGCCTTAAGTTGCCACAACCTGAGCGTTATAAGTCACAAGTCCAATCACTTAGTTATTAGTCATTCTATTAGTAATTCAAAAGGAAATAGATTATGTATTCAACTTCAATTTTATAACTGATTGCAGATTAACAGATCAATTTGAAAACTCCGGCTTGTTTGCTATTACAACTAATTTTGTCACCCAGAATTCCAAAATTTAATAAATATGTTGTAACAATTAAATTTTATTTGTGAAAATTTGGGTAAATTTGTGAAAATTTGATTTTGGGAGTTAATGTTATTTGGGAAAATTTGTTTGGGGCGTGAGTAATTAAGAAGATGCTGTGAAACTTGGGTGTGGAAGTTAAATATATGGAATTGCTTTCATATTTCTAAATGGGGGTGTAAGTTTTTTTTGGATACATAAGAAATAGAAGAAAGCACTAGCTGATAGGGGTGTAAATGGGCTGGGCTGGGCTTTGGCCATCCTGGCCCAAGCCTACGTAAAAAAAAAATCTAGCCTATCTGGCCTACTGGCCTATTAAAGGCTTTATTTGTAGGCCAAGCCCGGCCCATTTTCAAAAATAAGAAAGCCTGACATGGCCTACAGGCCTTGTAGGCTTCCCACTATATATACTAAGCAAAAAAAATAAATTGTATAGAGCAAAAAAAGTTTCATTCATCCATGCACTAGTACTTCTCATAAGAAAAAGATGACAAACAAGAAAGAGTCAACATAATACCTCAGCTCTAGAATGTATATCATAGAGGAATAAAGTCAAAGAAATGAGAAAAATAAGAAAAATACAATTACTGGATGCTGAAATAAAGTCTACAAGAGAATGTCATTCATTTAAAAATCTTTAAACCACCATCAAGACAAGGGAAAGAAGAGTATTATTGAAAGATCTTCATCAGTAACATCATAATCCAGCAAGGTACCCATTGCTCCATGGTATTAAGCTGCAACAGCATGTAAAATTTGGAGACATTAGACAAGTTTTTCTTTCATAAAATAAAATAGCACAAAAAGTAAGAGATATTAGTATTTAGTACTTTGTGTCTTTGCCACATAAAATAAATATTATTTTATTATTTTATTTTCATAAATTAAATAGGCCAGCCTACAAGGCTGTAGGCCGGGCTTGACAAAATTGGCCTATGGCCTATTTATTAAAAAAGTTTTTTTTATAAGCCTAAGCCTACTCTACTTTTCTGAAAGGCCGAGCCTGGGCTGAGCTTAATGTAGGCCGGGCCGGACTAGCCTGGCCCATTTACACCCCTACTAGCTGAGGATTACTATGGGCCAAGAGATGCCCTTTAAGATCATTAAAGAGGTGGTTCAATTATAGCTAGTTATGAAGATTTAAAACTATCCATATTTCAGTATCACATCAATTTTTTACCCCACTTTCTTCTTGCACCTAGTGACAATAAACTAATAGGATTCTCATACTTTCTAACAAGATTCTTAATATGAAGTCATTTTCATAAGTTTTTTCTATGAAAACTTCTAACTGACATGAGTTGACCACAATGTAAATTTTCTGTTCAAGCAAAGTGCATATTTCAGGTAAGGATTTCTTATTGGAGTAGCTAAACCTGACAATATGCATATGCACGAGATTTATTTTGGCGCTTCCTGTGCACAAAATATTTGGTGGGACGAAAGAGAGAGAATGAAAGAGAGATTAGGAGAGAGAAGAGAGGAGGGAGGAGAGAGATTAGGAGAGAGAAGAGAGGAGGGAGAAGAAAAAATTTCATATATCACTTTCTTAATAGAAGAATTACCATGGTTCAGGAATATGTTAAAAATTTCCCACATGCACTATGCCTGGAGTGGGGGTTAATTTTACCCCAATTTTTTTTACATGTGTACTTTTTATTTAAAAGAATACAAACTAATATCATATAGGGTTTATATATGGCTTAACTTATTCACAAAATAGAAACTAATAGTGAATTTATCTGTAATTTGTCTCATTAATTAATTATTTGTAATTAGCAATCACGGGGCTGCTTTAAATGAACTTTTCAATAACTTTATTTTTATATGATTTTTTAAAAGATATTTTTAAATTAAAAATTATTAAATATTTAGGATATAAAATTTGAAGCCTTGAGAACTTAAAGGTGGAAGTAGCATAAATTGGTCATTTCAGAGATTTCTGTTTTATTTGGAAGGTTTTTAAAGTACCCAATAAGCTAATTTAGACTAAATTTAAAGATTCTAATCAATGTGGGGTCATTAATGCCACAGGTGGAAAACAATTAAGCCTTACCCTTAACCGTTTACACGTGGATATCGAAGTCACAGGATTATTTTCCAAAATAAGAGACATTTTCCGAAAAAGGAAAAAAATAAAACAAATTTTTTGGCAAGGATTCAAAATTATCTATCCATATATATATATATTCTAAAGTGAAACTATTTGTTGGCAAGTTTGCTGACGTGTCCTTTTCTCATGCATTCTGAGCTTTGTGTTCACACTACTTCAATTCAAAAAATTTCCTCTTTTAGAAACATTTTCAATTAAAATAAATTTACTTTAAATTAATTTAAATTAAAAGGGTTATTAATTCATTTTCGTGAAAAATGGTGCAGCTTTTATGGCAGTTCAAATTTTCAATGCAACTAAATCCCACTACCTTCTGCCTTGGAAAATGTTGGGCATATTCATTTTGTATAAATAGGGAAGTTGTGTTTTTTTTTTTTTTTGGCTTGCCTCCGATTTGTTTCTTCATTTATGTTTGTAGGGATTGTTGTATTGGTATTATTTTTTGGTTACTTTGGCTTGCCTCTGATTCGTTTCTTCGTTTGTGTTTGTAGGGATTGTTGTATTGGTATTATTTTTTGGTTACTTTATAAACAAATGCTATGAATTTGTTTTCATTTTTTGTATACTAATTCTTTTTTTTTCATTTTCTAGGGCGGAAGGTTTCATCGTAATTCATGCTGTGTAGTGTTGGCCTGCATTTTTTTCTTTGTTCGTATGTGTAGCGGATGTTGTATTATTATTATTTTTGTTTACTTTATAACAAATTGCTATGAATTCGTTTTCATTTTTTGTATACTAATTCTCTTTTTTCCGTTTTCCAGGGCGAAAGGTTTCATGCTACTGTGAATAGTTATTTACGTATTCAACGTCTTCGATGCTGTGTAGTGCTTGCCTACATTTTTTTTTCTTCGTTCGTGTGTGTAGCGGATGTTGTATTATTATTATTTTTGGTTACTTTCTAAACAAATGCTCTGAATTCGTTTTCATTTTTTGTATATTAATTCTTTTTTTTTTGTTTTTTAGGGCAGAAGGTTTCATCGTAATTCATGTTGTGTACTGCTTGCCTGCATTTTTTTTCTTCGTTCATATGTGTAGCGGATGTTGTATTATTATTACTTTTGTTTACTTTATAAACAAATTGCTATTAATACGTTTTCATTTTATGTATACTAATTCTCTTTTTTCCGTTTTCCAAGGCGGAAGGTTTCATGCTACTGTGAATAGTTATTTACGTATTCAACGTCTTCGATGCTGTGTAGTTCTTGCCTGCATTTTTTTCTTCGTTCGTGTGTGTAGCGGGTCTTGTATTATTATTATTTTTGGTTACTTTCTAAACAAATGCTCTGAATTCGTTTTCATTTTTTGTATACCAATTCTCTTTTTTTCATTTTCTAGGGCGGAAGGTTTCATGCTACTGTGAATGGTTATTTACGTATTCAGCGTCTTTCATGTTGTTCGAGGGAGATTTAGTTGGCTTTGTTGGCTGCTGTTAATGGTTCGATTTATTTATGCTTGCAACAATTCAATAGGGTTTGTGTCATTGTTTGTGTGTTACATTATTGAGTTTGCGTGTTGTTATTAAATTCCTGATGATATCTTTTGATAACATCTTGCTGATTACATTGTTTTGTAGGGTTATCTTTTGGAGCAATATATCTTGAAGAACTTATGGTCGAATCTTGAACCAAAATATTTTCCCCACTACGGAAGATATATGAGCCTTTGAAGCTTTGAGTTTTCGTGTTATACAAGGATGCGCTTTGCTTTTGAAGCTTTGAGTCTATGTATTCTTCGTAACATTGCATCTAATGGATTAATTTGATATTTTGTTAAGAATTGTTTTGTTGTTGTGTTGTGATTGGTGTTCTTATTTTATATACCCAGATAATAATAATTATATCAACTTCCCACATTGTAATTGTCTTGATTCACAATATCAAATTGATATTTCTAAATTGATTTTGATGTGTAAATGAACAAGGTTATCATTTTGTTAAAGTTTTTGGATCCAGATACAAAAATTGAATAGTAAACGATGGAATAAATGCCAACGGGTGAAGACTTTAAAATTTATCTGAATGGAAGGTCCTTCTTCTGTCAAACGTGCCAGGATTGAGGAAAGGGTTTGTCGATCACTCAATGATCTCCCAGACGAAATATTAATGGAGATCTTTGCAATGGTATCTGTTTATGACATCCGTGACCTATGCAACATTGAGCGAAGGTGCAAAGATTTCTTACGTCTTGCTAGGGATAGTTTTTGTATTCTGCGAGTAGTAGATATTTTTCTTCGTACTTAATAATTTAAGAACGTCTCTGATGACGATTTGAGATTATTATTTTATGGTGTTGTTGAACTATATTTCGGAATGAATCTTTGAAACTGTTCTTGATGATTTTTATTTTGTGTGATGTTATGTTGCGTCTATGTGTGGTGTTGAGTTATGGTGCATAAATTGGGATCCACTGTCTGTAGTGTTATAATCTAAACATTGGAATTTGTTAATGTTGTTGTAAAGCGTGTGAGGGAAGGTATAATTGTTGCTTTGGAATAAGTTGCATATTTATTTTGGACGACGGCTGTGTTATAATTAAACATTGGGATTGGACATAATTTTAATGCTTAACAATCATGTATTAGGCATTTACGTTGTGGTTTAATTAATATAAATGTAAAGGCTGCACTTAAACGATGTAATATCAGATAAAATTTCAATAGTCATTATTGTCCAATATATAACGCTCCGCGTTTTAGTTTATTCCTAATCTATATATATTTTAAAGAATTTGTTGGCAAGTTTGCTGATGTGTCCTTTTCTTATGCATTCTGAGCTTTGTGCTCACACAACTTCAATTTAATTTTTTCCCCTTTTAAAAACATTTTCAATTAAAATAAATTTATTTTAAAATAATTTAAATTAAAAGGGTTATTAATTCATTTTCTGAAAAATGGTGCAGCTTTTATGGCAGTTCAAATTTTCAATGCACCTAAATCGCACTACCTTCTGCCTTGAAAAATGTTAGGCATATTCATTTTGTATAAATAGGGAAGTTGTGTTTCTTATTTTTATTAGGCTTGCCTCCGATTTGTTTCTTCATTTGTGTTTGTAGGGATTGTTGTATTAGTATTATTTTTTGGTTACTTTGGCTTGCCTCCGATTCATTTCTTCGTTTGTGTTTGTAGGGATTGTTGTATTGGTATTATTTTTTGGTTACTTTATAAACAAATGCTCTGAATTCGTTTTCATTTTTTGTATACTAATTCTCTTTTTTTCGTTTTCTAAGGCAGAAGGTTTCATCGTAATTCATGCTGTGTAGTGCTTGCCTGCGTATTTTTTCTTCGTTCGTATGTGTAGCGGATGTTGTATTATTATTATTTTGTTTACTTTATAAACAAATTGCTATGAATTCATTTTCATTTTTTGTATACTAATTCTCTTTTTTTCATCTTCCTGGGCGGAAGGTTTCATGCTACTGTGAATAGTTATTTAAAGGGGTGTACAAGTTACAATGATTTGAGAACAATCAATGGTGTGCTTTTTCTTACATGTAAGGATGCATGTTATTCTCTCGGACTTTTGGATGATGACAATGAATACATTGATGCGATTAAGGAGGCAAATATGTGGGGTTCTGCTTCTTATCTTCGAAATCTATTTGCTCTATTGTTGTTTAGCAACTCAATGGCTAGACCTGAACATGTTTGGGAAACATGTTGGAAAATTCCTATCTGAAGATATTCTTTATCGACATCGAAAATATACCGGACGTGAAGGTATATATTGTTGTCATATTTAAGCATTTAAATGTATTGGTTGTTCGTATTTATTTATTTTATATAATTCTAGCAGTAATTATGAAATCAATTATTATATAATTATCGTAATGAAGAACATATATATATATTGACGTGATGTTGTTTTTCCCGCATTCAATCTATTTTGTTCTTTTTTATTCCTTTATATGTTTGTTTTTTTTCCCTAAATTGTTTTTTGTCTTGCCTTTCTGTTTGATCAGATGTTATTGTTTCTGAAGAGTATATAAAAAACACAGCCCTTTTTTAGATTGATAAAATACTACAAAGCAATGGTAAAAGTCTAAATGATTACCCGTCAATGCCTTGGATAATGAGCTCGTCTTTGTTTGATATTCAAAATAAATTGGTGCTTGATGAATTATTGTATGACAGATCTTCATTGATGGAAGAGCATGCAAGATTAATGAAATCTCTTACAGATGAGCAGAGAATGGTTTTTAACAAAATCATTTCAGCAATTTCAGCATGCATTGGAGGATTCTTTTTCTTTACGGCTTTGGGGGTACAGGAAAAACATTTATTTGGAATACTCTGTCAACACATGTTCGATCAAAAGCTGAAATTGTTCTCAATGTTGCTTCTAGCGAAATTGCTTCCCTCCTGCTTCCTAGAGGAAGAACAACACATTCTAGATTTCGTATTTTTATTCAAATTACTAAGGACTCAACATGTAACATAAAGAAAAATTCTACGCTTGCTGAGTTACTGTCAAAAACAAAGTTAATCATTTGGGATGAAGCACCAATGGTACACAGATTTTGCTTCGAGGCTCTGGACAAAACACTTAGAGATGTTCTTAGATTTTCTGATGCCTGTTGTGTTGATAAGCCATTTGGTGGAAAGGTTGTTGGTTTGGGAGGTGACTTTTGCCAAATATTACCTGTTATTCCTCATGGTAGCAGGCAAGAGATAGTGAATACCACCATTAATTCTTCCCCTCTTTGGTCCCATTGTCAGTTATTAACTTTAACCAAGAACATGCACCTAAGTTCAGGAGGTGGCATTCAAAATTTGATGGAGGTAAAACATTTTTCTGAATGGCTTCTTAAAGTAGGGGATGGTGATCTTGGAGATGATGTTGATGGAGAATCTATGACCACAATTCCAGGTGGATTATTAATTAAAGAATCAGAACATCCACTCTCGGATTTGATTGATTTTGTTTACCTGAAAGTATTAGATAATTTGTTAGATCCCACGTTCTTTAAAGAATGTGCAATTTTAACTCCTTAATTGGTAGATGTTTCCATGTAAAACGAGCTCCTAATGTCTTTGATTTCAGGTGAATAAAAAATATATCTTAGTTCAGATAATGTCTTGAAGCAGGATAATCATTCTGAACTCGAGGATGCTGAATTTTCTCCTGAGATTTTAAATACCTTCTCATGTTCAGGAATTCCTAACCATAAATTAATTCTGAAGTTTAATGTGCCTGTTATGCTGTTGAGAAATATTGATCAATCAAGAGGATTGTGCAACGACACAAGATTGCTTATTTCAAGATTAGGTAACCGAGTTGTTGAGGCAACTGTTCTTACAGGAAGCAACATAGGACAAATTGTCCTAATTCTTAGAATGACAATGAACCCATCAAGCCATGCATTCCCGGTAAATTTTCAAAGAAGACAATTTCCCCTGGTCGTTTCATTTGCAATGACTATCAATAAAAGTCAAGGACAATCACTTTCTCATGTTGGTTTTTATCTCCCTAAGCCTGTCTTCACTCATGGGCAATTATATGTTGCACTATCAAGGGTAAAAATCAAACATGGATTGAAAATTTTAATACTTGAAGATGATGGGAATGTTACAAATACCACCATTAATATTGTCTACAAGGAAGTATTTCAGAGATTAAAGTAATTGATTTGGTTCTGCAGAATTGTAGGAAAACAAATGTTTGGTATGTGCTTAAGTTATATCTCCAATGATTACTATTGATTGACACTTAATAAAAAAAATTCATACAATTTTTTTGTTATTATACAAGGGTGTTGATATATTTTCTGATTTTCATTTTTATTTACTCTAATTATTTCCTTCATGTTAAGCGAAAAATTTAATTTTTTTATTCATGTGTTTTAATTGATTTTATTTTGTAATATTGTTGAATCAATGAAAAGTATTGAAGACTAATATAGAGGAGAAAGTTTGTTTTATATTTTATTCACAGTTGTTTTTTTGTGTGTGCAGAATATTTGTTTTTTCCTTGTTTTTTTTCTTTTGTCTTTGTAGGGTGCTATTAATGGTGCTGGATAGTATTGAGTGCAAGAAATTTGGCTCATGTTAGGATCATTTCTATTTGGTTAGACAAAATGCATATCATCACTGTTGTTGTTATATGCATTGCTGTATATTAAGATATCTTATTATTGAATGAGCGTATCCACTGCTGGTAATAATTGTTCTGGATAGTATTGAGCGCAAGAACTTTTCCTCGTCTTTTGATTTTTTTTTTTGGTAGGATAATCTCCATCTCATATTTTCATCACTTTAGATGTTGTATGCATTGTTGTATATGAACATAATCAAATATAGAGTACATAACTATTTTTTATTTGCATAATAGTTGATGTTTCTTAATTGCAGAGTTTTGTTTGTTGTAGATAATAACAAATTCCTATGTCAGTGTTGTAGCTCTTTCACCTCACAAAATAGCAAAAAATACTGACACGGTTCTTTATTTTAGCGATTAACCAATGACAGACGCCGACAAAAATTTAGATCTTTTTTCTCCGTGCATCGCACGGGTACTACACTAGTATATATTAATGGCTTGTTGGAAAAAGATTGCTTAAAATGAAATGCTAAAATTAATCTGTTCATATACAGACATAAATTTAAAGATCCACATATGTAATTAATAAAACGATTTTAAGTTTATGAAATGTGCAGATTTTCTTTTTCTGTGCTCTCTGTTCTCATATTTTTGAGATATTTAAGATTACATTATGAATGATGTAAACTTAATGGCTGACATTAACTATTAATATTTTTTCACACTAAACTGAAAAGGAAAATGAATATGCATGTATGGCGATATCTGTAACACCTTGTTACCGAACCGGTGTGTTATCATCAATTATGATATTAAGCGCATTTACAATCACAACAGTCATTTGAAATTACGGGAAAAACTTTTTCTTTTTAATATCGTTGCACTTTTAAAATAATCGTATTAGACAATATACTAACTGCGATCATTACTCAAAACTCATATCGGAATTATTAATCAGTAAGCTTAATACCATACAACTTATATTTACAGGTTGCTAAGTGGTTCTCATAAACCAACAAAGCTTAAAACTCATTCTATCCATATTTAACACTAAATGCCTTCATCTTTTTATTACTCTAGGAATTTTATACTTCTCCAATGATTCTCCTTTTCTAATATGTTACAGATCTCTTTTTTAGCTTCGCGTGGGTTCAAACCGCGCTCAATTTGGAGCACCATAGCCCAAGTTATGAATTTCCTAAGAAAGTGATGCTGAACCCGCAGAATCCGGCGTGAATAGCGCCACAAAACAGACAGTTTCCAGAATTCCGGCGCGAGCAGCGCCAACTTGGCACGAATAGCGCCAAGATTACGTATCTCCTCTGTATGTTGGCGCTATTAGCGCCACCACGGCGCTAATAGCGCCAGGGGTCTGGAGATAGACACCAAAATAGGATAATTCAACCTACTTTGGTATTTTACCCAAAACTTGAGTTATACTAATCCAATTTACACAATCTTGGTCTCGTTGGAAAGCTAAAAGAAAGGTCTATAACTTCCAAGAAGGCCAAGGGTTCCAATTCTATCATATGGGATATGAAAATTAGGCAGCACCCTATTTATATTTTGAACAATTACCAATTTTTTCAATCATGTACCTAATCAATTATCCTCTCAATATTTACTTAACTATTTCACAGTTCAACACATTCAATAGGTCATTGACCCTTCTATCAATTAAACACCTCCATCAAATATTCTTTACACAACTAATTCTTAAACATAATCCAAGTGGCATGGACATCCCCATGCTCACCCATATCCAAAATGATAAAATGAGGCATATACAATTGGATTCCAAAATACAACTAATAGTCAAGAGACTTAGGATTACATATGAACAACAAAAGCATGGTAAATACAACTACATGCAATACCATGTTCATATACTAAGTCCTCTGCACAATGAATGTCAACAAAATATAGAAATCTCTCAAAAAGGCATATGAATCTTTTGCATCAAATCTATCTCCCACTAGGTGGGCTTCTTGCTCGAAGCTCCAATGTGCTCACCTGAACCTGAAATGGTGCCCCAAAAGAGGGGTGAGATATACATATATATCTCAGTAAACCAATGGCACCGGAGGGTTACTCCGCCCAGTGGCTCACTCAATGTGCATGCAATGATACATATATGAACAATACAACATACAAAATCACATCATAACCGGGAACAATCCAAGAACATCCACTAAAGGATTCATTCAAGGACCCCATCAAAATTCTCCCAAGACGCTTCTTGGTGCCTTTCCCATGGTTGAGAGACTTCATGGCAAACCCAACTGGAACTCCCAAGTAGACTTATCCAGCGGAAGTCCCATGTTTGGAGCTCCCTAGTGCCGCTCCCAGAGACAACTCTATGGCAAAACCCGACTGGAACTCCCCAAAGGAGCATAAACCGGCGGAAGTCGAAACCAACACATCTACTAGCCAGAGATCACAATTGCAATAACACACAACATGCCACATGCATGTCAATCAACATGTCAATAATGCATGAATATACTATTACACACATTATCAAAGAGCACACATCCAACCATCACCCCCAACTTGGGCATAGTGGAACACACAAGGGGATTAACCCCAGTTCCAAGAGTTTACCTCAATTACACAAGCAATGCTTTCCAACATAAGCTCCAAGCTTAATCCACTTCTATTGAGTCCGTGAGAGGTAACCTATATTGATCAAATAACAATGATCATCAACAACTTGTTCACAAGTCTCAATTATTCAACAGCCCATAACAAACCTCACCACTTAATCCAACACTATCAAACTATTCCACATACTCAATGGGCACCTTACCACAATTTCTCTCAATGTGCTTATATAATCAATACATAAAGACCATGGTTCCTAGGTTTTTTCAATTATTATATCATGCTTTAACCTTCCATTTTCTTCCATAATTGATTACACCAACCACCAACACATAAGTCCAACAACCATATTTATGACCCCAACAGCAAAGTCCCTCTCAATCTTGCCTAAGTTACCAATTCAAATCACAATAAATTTTATTGGTTCAATCATCATTATACATCATTACAAGCAACAATTTACAAAGGAGAAACATCATTAAATGTTCCTAGCTATCACAACTCATCAACACATCACCAAACATAAATCCATTTTTCAATCTCTATAAAAACTCAATGAAAGTTGGAATACTTACCACAAATAGCTTCCCAAAGCTCCAAGGGTTGTTAATCAAGTGTTCAACCAAGGCAAAGCACCACTAATGGCTCTCCCAATTCCCAAAATCGTCCTCCCCCAGATAAAAGGATCTCTTCACTTAATCAATTTCAAGGGAAAACTACAACTAGAAAGTTGTTCACTAGATGATTTGGAGTGGTTTTGATGTTTAAGGTTTTGTGATTTGAGGAGTGGAAGTGGGTGAAATAAAACAAAGAAAAACTTGCCCTATGCTCCCATGGAAGAGCTCCATGATGAATAAGAGAAACAGGAGAGAGTGTGTGCAGTTTTTTTGTAACAAAACACTCTCTCACATGTGCTTAATCCACTCATTTAAGTAGGAGTGGGTCCCACTTGTCACTTAACTCAATTCAAACATCCATTTTAATTCAATAATTCCATAATCCATAATTTTTATCCAAACTCCACATATTTTTATTTCCTATAGTATAATTTCATTTTCCAAGTTTACCGATAAAATTATACCGCAATATTTTATCCGGTAAAAATCACTATTCCTCAAAATTTCTCAAAATATACCTACGAACTCCAAATTTCGTACTGAATCCTTTTCCAGTGTTATTTTTCTCAGATTAAACTCCAATTTATCATTTCACGGTACAAGGTTACACAGTTGGCAATTTACCATTTTGTCCCTGATGGGTAATTTGACCCCAAACCTCAGGATTTTCACTAATTAAACCCTCTAACCCTCAATTTAGCATTTAATATCACAATTAGATATGCGAGGTGTTATAATATCCATTTGTGGGGATGTAGTTAAAATTGAGCTTTTATGTAGAAATGGAAGAGGTTGTAGAAATGAGATAAAACGTAAAGTTTTTATTACTTAAGATCAAGATACAAAATTATATATATGTGTGTGTGTGTGTGTGTGTGTGGGTGTGTGCATGTAATTTTTTTTTTCACATAAGTCACTACTCAAAATTTAATAAATAACTTCATATTTAAAAATATAAGTCACATAACTATATAAGATACAAGTCCAAAAACATTAAAAGAGAAAATTGAATTTAAAAAAATGAAATTAGGTTTTTAAAAAATAAAAAATAAAAAAATTGAGTTTAAGTAAAAACGGTAAAAAAAATATAAAAACTTCTGTTTCTACCATTTTTACATTTCTACACAATATTTTTACCTGTTTCTACCAAAGATCATTTTTACTTACACTTTAACACGTTTTTACACTGCATTTCTACCGTTTTTGCGTTTTTATCCAACTTTTTTGTGTGCATAAACTTCATCAAATCAATTTAAAAGTTAAATAATGCCACAACAAGTTAATAATTGTGACACTGGTGAGAGATGTGAATTTTCATCCATTACTGTCCTTACCTCCTTTTTATGTCTTTACCTAAACTTTGGTTTAACCACCAGGTTTTTTTTTACAAAAAGAAAAAGAAAAAGAAAGTAAACATATATAAGAAAATTAATTATAAAAAAAACTGTTCGATATTCAACATTTTATAACATAATGAGTTTGGACAAAAAAGAAAAAAAATAGAAAAGACTGTGTGTCAACGTTGTATTATAACAAAGGGAATAATCTGCGTTAGAGAAATCACTTCAACAATATTCACATTTCCATAAAATACACACAAGAAATTGAAATATGCAATAATATAAAGTTAAAATATACCGTACGAGAATACATGAATGCAACTGGGGAAATTCGAGCTCAGAGTTAGACAGTGTGTCCTTAGAATAATTTCACCCTCTCTATTAATGTAGTGGCACTTCCACATAGAACAGCCACATCAAAATCAACATATGTCTGACCAATCGCACTAGAGAAGAGGAATGAACATGCATGTACAAAACTAATCGAGAAACCCATATTAAAATTATAATTCTCTTTTTATTTATTAAAAACGTTACGTCACAATTTAAATGACACTCTTTCATGAATGAAACGATACATCTGTTCAAAGAAAAACTATACATCTTTTCAAAGTTATGATTTTTGGAAGTTCAACTTACATAACTGTTTTCAGATAGTGCAAGGGATCCCAACTTAACTCACGGTTTTTGCCATTGTGGGAGTTACACAAGCTAATTCTTCTTAAATTTTAATATTTTATAGTAGACACCTAAAGATTTAATTCGAGGTATCACAAGCTTAATTTGGGTAAGTAATGAGAGAGGTATGAATTTTTGAAGTCGGACAACTCGAATCGCCATTGTGTTTTGCGATTCTGGGCAGCCTGTACACAATTTGACTTTGGGGACAAACCAATATACATAATCACCTCAAACTTTAGGGTAATATAGATGACATCTCAAGCTTTAAAATGAGTATCATGAGCCTCATTTGACCAAAGGATGAGGGAGATATCACACTCCAAAGTCAAATGTACATATCCACAATTTTCAGAATTTTGGCAACTCATTTTTCATTTAAACCAACATACATTTTACACCTACACCCATCAAAATTCAAATGATACACATATTTCTCTCTCAAACATTTCCTCAAACACCTTACCTATACCATTTTGCCTATTGTTTACATGTTCATTTTGCATTTACAACTCCATCCATTAGGTTTTTCCAACCAAATCATCATCATCAACAACAAACATCCACAATTCAAACTCTTGGCATATATTCTTCCCCACTCAACTCAAAACTCTAAAGACAAGGCATAATCATTAAAACCTAACATGCTCTTAAACATGCAAGACTTCAGAATCAAAATTGGAACCATAGGAATAGAGATTTCTTACCTCTAATCAACAATCCAAGGCCCAAAGATCATCCACCAAGCTTGGCTCATCAAAAACCCCACTTTCTTGACCTTGTGCCACAAAATTGGAGAGGGGAGGAACTCTCCACACACTCAAATTCAGCCCAAACCAAGTAGTAGAATGGATTCAGCCCACACTCTTCACACACTATCAAAATCGTGTAATGCACTTTTGTATTTGGTTGAGTGAGGATGGAGAAATCAAGAGAGGAAGAAACTTGAAAATCTAGCTCTATATGGAGAGAGAGGAGGAAGAAAGGTGAGTGAATAGTGTCCTTTAAGTGATTTTAGGCTTATATTAACATGAGGTCTTTTAACGGATATTTTCTTTTCTCTTAATTTCACTTAACTTGGTATTCACTCAAATCTACGGATATAATTTTATTTACATTCTCTTATATTCCATACAGAATATTTTAAGCTACTCACAGATGAATTCTGACACTGTTTCCGAAACATGCACTGTGAATTACTAACTGTGCAATTTTGCACGCAAAACTGTTAAAATTCTAAACTTATTACTTTTGGCCTAAAAATGACTTTTATGGCATATATTGGATTTGAACATACGTTTATTGAACTTTTTCAGGTTGCTGAACTCTACCGGTTGCCTAAACGACGGTACAAAATACTCAGCAGAACACGTTTTACGATATTTTAGCAAAAAATGTCATACTATACAATTTTTTGGTTCTGAACTCATATATGGCATCAGAATTGCCAAATTAGGTCTCTAACATCATTTTGCATATTTTCGAGCTTAATTGCTACACAACAGTGCAGAATACCCGGTAGAAGTCACTGTTCATGACCTAGTCATGATTACAGTCAAAACACTCGAAATCACATTCTGAATCTAATTATGATATTTAAATCCTTAAATTAAATCTCTAACTAAGATTTACCAGTTATGATCGTTATATTCACCAACACAAAGGATGACTCGAATTCGAAAAGAGAAATCACAATAAATGGCTCAACCTCCTACTAAAAGGAAAAAGGTAGTCGAATGATATATATGTTATTGTATTTCATTATGTTGTTTATATGTTTTTAATTTTATGGTTATCTTGTATTAATAGATGGCTGCAAGAGGAGGAAAATAGAATGATGCCTTTTTGGCACATAATGAAGGTCCATCAGTCGAACAGTTACATTGCATAACATTATCATCAAGCAACGACGTGGGAGCATAGCTTATGTTGGAGACCATGTTGGAATTTGTAGTTTTTTAGGGGTGCTTAATTGTGGAAAGCATTTTAGATTGTTTGATTTTGGACAAATTTTTGGTACTTGATTTTTTGGACAGGTTTTAAAGTGAAAAATTGTATAATTTTTTGGCTAGAAGAAGGTGACTTTTGTATGGATTTTTGGCTGGAAGAATGTGATTTTTTGGTCAAACTTTGTTTATTGTAGTCTTGAGACTGGTTAATCAGTGTTTTGTTTAGAAGCTAAAATGAGCTTTGTAGTACCATCACTTGATTCTATTGGTAAGTTTTTCTCTGCAGACAGAACCTCCATTTTGCTCTCTTTTGTTTGGAAGCAACAAGTGTGGGAATCTTGGTGTCAGATTTATACATGACCTAGATAGTTTTTTTTTTTTTTGGGTAAACTCCTAGATAATTTTTGAATTGAATGAATGATATCATAGATTTTGGATTTTTTTTTTTTAATTTTTAACTGTTTTTGAATTTAGTTTAAACTTTAACACCGTTAGTTAAATTTGGATGGAAAAAAAGTGGAGGAGGATACGTAATTGATTATGAATCAAAGCATTATTTCAGGGAGGCAAATGATTTAGAACCAAACCGGATGGGAGGGTTTATGAAGTTTTCCCTTTAAAATTTTAAAGATATATATAAAGAAAATGAACTTATAAATAATTTTTCCTTTTAATTACAGTTGACTTCAAACGCATTTAACTTACAACATAATTGTAATTCATTTCAAATATTCTTTATTTTTAATTTTTTTTATCTTTGAAGAAAAATACGAATTTACACTGTCTGGTTGAATACTCAACAGTAACATGACGAGTTTGGTTAAAAAAATTGTGAAACAAAATAGCTCAACCATGTCTAATAAAAAGATGGTGGAATTTTTAAATTATAAATTTATAATGCGTAAATGACATATGTAACATTAAAGTTTGATATTAATCCACATCTCATAAACTTGCATTACTTCTCCAGCACATATATAATAAGGGGAAAGTACTTCTTATGTGACTGCAGAAGGGAAAACTTGCAGCAACACAGGGTACGCGTCCGAATCCTGATTTTTTTTTGTTTTTTGTTTTTTGATAGAATCTGCACGTGTATCCTAGGATCCGCACGTGTATCCTAGTGTTAAAAATTTACTGCAACTTTTTTCATCAGCAGTCACGTGAGAAGTGAGGGACCATATAATAATTAATTGCATTAAGTTTCCTAAGAGTACAACATGAAGTGATACATCTCCAAATTGACAAGTAAAACAATTCAAAAAGCTATGTGTTTTTTTTTTTATTATGCGCAAAATACTGCTAACATACTATACTAAAAACTTAATGGAACTCTTAACGCCTTTGGAAGTTTAACATCTTGATGGACATGATAAAGATCAATACAAAAGCTACTGCGAATCCAACAACTATAGCTGCAACTACTCCCAAAAAGTCATGCTTGTAACCAAAGTAATTTTTCAAGAACTCTTCTACAGGAACACTTCTTCCATTAATATCAATATTGTGCTTTATATCTCCAAACTGTGAAGCCACCAACCCATACAAAGTCCAAGCTACTGGATTTATCCAACTGTACCATCTCCACCATATTGGGATCCTCTGTCACCCCATGCCAAAAATATATATTATATATATGTATGTATGAAAGAAAGGACATCAATTAATTACGGGGAAAGTACTTCTTATGTGACTGCAGAAGGAAAAAATTGCAGCAACACTTACTTTTATCAGGATACGCGTCCGAATCCTGGTTTTTTTTTTTATAGAATCCGCACGTGTATCCTAGGATCCGCACGTGTATCCTAGTATTAAAAATTTGTTGCAACTTTTCTCATCAGCAGTCACATGAGAAGCGACGGACCCATTAATTATATATTCATATTTTAAAAAGTATAAATCAGCACTTAACATCAAAAGAAGCTAGAACTTACTGGTCTCGGGACTATGAATCCTGAGAAGAGATTCCATAATATAGCGGATGCACTAATAAGTAAAGCAGCAGTGGATGCGTTTGGGGTCATGGCTGCAGTCATCATGCCATAGTAGGTGAAGTACATGAAGGTGAAGAACATGAAGAATAAGTACCATAAAACTTTAGTCACAGCCCACTCAAAACCAATCATTGCATAAACAATAAATCCATAGATCAAGGTTTGTAAAAGAACATAAGGGACTTCAATTATAGCCTGCATGAAAATATGAAGATTAGAAGAAAATAAAATAAAAATAGACATTCAGGTAAATTATGTATTATAATGTATATAAGAAACCGCTTGCCTGAGCAACAGCATATGCCAAAGGAGAATACATTCCAGCAGCCATTTCCCTATAAAAGACTATTCTCTCTACACCCACCACTGATTGAACTGAAGTAGCATTCTTAATACCAATAAGTAAAACAGCAGTATACATAAATCCCATGGAATTAAAGAGATCTTGTGCTTTATCCCTGCAATTAATTTATGTGAAAATTTAGTTTTAGAAACAAATAGAAGCACAAGTTTGAAAACCATAACATTTTTTAGTTTACAGTTTGATCTTACATTTTGGAGCCAAGGTTCCAAAACATGCTCCCAAGCAAGATGGAGAGAAAAATTGTGAAGATAATCCTTATGGTATTGTATAGAGGATTCCGCCAGTAAGACCAATGTTGTTTCCATAAGCAAGCCATGCATTGGACGATCAAGGACCTTGAGTACTTTGAAGGAAAATAAAGCTCCTTCGAACCAGGGGCTGGAGTACTCAATTCTTCAATAAGTGCTTTGTTTCTCCTGAAACAAAATGCCACAGACCAGTTTATATCAGTAAACATTCTATACTGTGAGTCGTGACTAACAACTCATAATAAAAATGATGTACTTTTTGCCATTAAGTGCTGTCTAGCATATTATTTTCAAGTTCTAAAGTTTAATTAGACTTCATACAAATGAAAATACCTGTATAACTCTGAATTTTTGTAAACCTCAGCAAAATCAATCCCCAATTCTATTTCTTTTGCTGAAGTCGTGACTTCCAACATCCATGTTGCTGGGTTGCAGTCATCTCTCATCTTACTGACACCTTGGATTCCCTTCATAACAGAAGTGTGCAAGTAAATGAAATCTTTACCAAGATCAGATAAGTACAAGAAGCATTTCAATTCCGAAATTTCCCAAATTTTAATAATAATTATACCTCAAAGTAACTGATTAAATGGGAAGAATGACATCCAAGTGGCCCCACATATATCTCTTGCCCTCCTTTCTTCATTAGGAAAAGCTAAATTTCATTGAAAATAAAGATCAGAAGGGTAATGGAAGAAAACAGACTAAAAATAAACTTGCTACAATTTTTTAATCTGTTTATTTCACCTCATCAAAAGATTCAAATATATAAATGCTAGGCTGATGAATGGTGCAGACAATTGTTCTTCCAGTGTCCACTATGTTCCTAACTGCTCTCATAACAATAGCAGCAGCTTTTGCATCTAGCCCAGAAGTTGGCTCATCCATGAATATTATAGAAGGATTAGCAACTAGCTCTACAGCAATAGTCAACCTTTTGCGCTGCTCTGTTGAGAGACCGTTAACACCTGGCAATCCAACTATTGCATGCCTTATAGGGTTCAGCTCCACAAGTTCCATGACTTCCTCAATGAACATCTGCAACCATTAGTAAGCTCCAAACTTATTTAACATGGAAGAACACGACAATTTTTTATTTTTATTTTTTGGTTTCCATACTCTTCTTGCTTCCAGCATTATTTTTTATGACACAAATAATTCAAACAATGAATGGTAGTTACAGTTTTGCACTTCTGCAGTCATCTACAGAGAAGACGTACTTGGAAAATTATATATTTACAGATTTGAATCCAGAAGAAACTACAATATTCAAATAATGGCACACCTGCTCATCAATGCATCAATGCAGTGTGACTAAAATAATACATGATATGTGATGCATGCACTATGAGAGATAGAAATACCAAACATGGGATTCAAATACCAACCTTCCTCGTTTCAACATTGATTTCTGCTGACAATCGAAGCCATGCTGAATAGAGCAAGGATTCGTATACCGTAACATGAGGAGAGTGGATGTCATTTTGTTCACAGTATCCAGAAATTCTTGCAAAGGTTTCTTGCTTCTTTGGATATCCAGAAACAGTGATGTTCCCTTCAATATATCCACCAGTTTTTCTATCAGCAAGTACATCCATCAGAGTTGTTTTGCCAGCACCGGTGACACCCATTAGAGCTGTGAGAACACCTGGCCTGAAAGCTCCACTGACACCCTTCAAAAGAACCAACCTATCCTCAAGAACACCCTGGTTCTTCAATTCCTGCAAGTCCAGTGCAAGAATATAATCAAACTAAAACTATAAAGACCTTGAATACATGCATTTTCAATTTGTTTATTGTGTTTATATATTACCTTCGGCATGTCAACAGAATATGTTACTTCATCAAAAGTGATGGAATGTGGTTCAAAAGGAAGAATCATTCCTCTTTTCCTGTTATGTGTAGTCTCTCCTACAGCTTTTTGCTCTGATTTAACAGCCTGATGCTTCTCAAGTGCTGCATAATCAATTTGCTATATTAGTGCATACTTTAGGCTCTTATTTGGTTATAAAACACTTAAGGTAAAAGAAACTCACGGTTCAAGTAAGTGAGAGCAAGGATGTAACCAATGTTGAACAGTATGGTATATCCAATCATTGCCCCTAAACCTATCCAATACCAGTAATACTCAGTGAAGAACCCGCGGGATTTCAAAACTTCAACTCCTAGTGGTTCCATTGAGTTAGGTAGAACCTTTCACATGAACATGCATCCAGACATTAGACTATTTGTATTTGACAAAGAAGCACAAAATTAATGATATAGATTTGTGAAAAAACTTACATGTCTCCAACTTTTCCCTTGGAACTCATTATTGACTAAGGCATTCTGTGCATACATCATAGGTGATATCCAGTAGCCCCATGACCACCATTTTTTGATGTTTTCTGTAAGCATAAAAGCAAAAAAGTAGAGCAGTAGTGTTAGTCTAAGTCTAGAAAAATAATAGGAGAAACATCACCATTGATTTCTTGTATGGATGGTACCTTTGGATAGGACGAAACCACTCATGCAAACAATCAAGGCCAATGCAAACGACCCTAGTGTGGAAGCCACTGACATTTCTCTACCAAGTGCTGCAAGTAATCGGAATAATGCAGAAGCCATTTGATTGGCAAGTGCTAGAAGAATGAATTGCTTTAGAAAACTGCATTACATAAAAAAAAAAAAAAAAAAATAAAAAAAAAAAAAAAACAAGTCCTTATTTGCACAGCATACTTCAAAGTCATTTCACAAGCTTTGGTGAGTAGGTATTGAAAACACAGCTCTTTTACCTTCCAGCTTCTGGATCATAACCAATGACAAAATAGGTGAGGAATTGCCAAACAAAAACTTCAGCAAACGTTATGGGGATTCTTAGGAACCATGAAGGAAGAGCATATGCCCATGAAGGGAAGAAGAGAAAGTCCCTTTGCTTGTAAAAAACGGGAAGCCTCCCCACTGTCATGGCTAGTTCAGCAAATCCATTAAACATAATTACAATATTACCAAAGAACAATGCACCAGCATAAATGATTCCACCAGTCACTGAATTATGGTGCATTTCAGTCCGGAGGAAAACGGTCATGGTGACAATAGCCATCACAGCAATCTTAAAGAAAGAGAAAGATATTAGTAGTGTATTCAGGACATGAAAAGTTAAAAAAATGAAAAACTCCAATGATCAAAATACCTACTTGGCAAAGTTTGAAGATATAGTAAAATGAATTGCGCTTCATGAGTAAATATTCTCTTGATAAGCAAGCTTTAAACAATTCCCATTTTCCCATTCCATACTTGTTGGTTGCCAGAGCAGCTGGGTGGCACTTAGACTTGTCAAATTGAGTAGCAAGTTCATTGCCAAGTCTTCTCCCAACATGAAATGATTGAAATGCCTCAGCAAATTCTCTGGCTGTGACAAATATATAAGGCTTTTCTTTGTGTGTCCAATATTGCTCCTGATCTTTCATTGATGTCACCTACAACATTATAAATAATTACAAGTAGTGAATTACACTCACTTTTTAACCTTGTAGACATGTAGAAAGAAGAATAATTTACACTTACTTCTTGCAAAAAGTCTGCCACGCCTTTCCTCTCAGGACATTCAAAACCCATTGTACCAAAAAATTCAAGCACATGTTCACAGGGACCCTGGTACACAATGTGTCCATCAGAGAGTAGAATTATGTCATCAAAAAGATTGAAAACCTCAGGTGCTGGCTGCAGGAGTGAGATCACAGCAGTTCCTTTGAGAAAGTGGACACATTGCTTCAGTGATTTCACAACTTGAAAAGTTGTCGAGCTATCCAAACCAGTAGATATTTCATCCATGAATAGTGCTTTAGCTGGTCCAACCAACATCTCCCCTAGATTTACAATTATTATTTTTTTTTAAAAAATTCTTACCTAAATCAATTTCTTGAGTTCACTAAACTTGATATGTTTCAAGATCAAATAAGAACAAGCCTGTTCTTTACCTGTTGTTACACGTTTCCTTTGTCCACCAGATATACCTCTTAACATTGCATTTCCCACAAAAGTATCTGCACAGCTCTCCAGTCCCAAAATCTGAAAATATAAAAAAAAAAATTCAACGAGAAATTAACACACAAATTTATATTGCCTTCATGATGATCAGAGAAGGTTTTGAGTGTATGAATTTTACCCTCAAAAAATAATCTGTTAAAAGATTAACTTTCTGGCCTTCAGTTGCCACAGCCTGAGCATTATAAGTCACAAGTCCAATCACTTAGTTGTTAGTCATTCTATTAGTAATTCAAAAGGAAATAGATTATGCATTCAACTTCAATAATTATAACTGATTGCAGATTAACAAGATCAATTTGAAAACTACGGCTTGTTTGCTATTACAACTAATTTTGTCACCCAGAATTCCAAAAATTTAATAAATATGTTGTAACAATTATATTTTATTTTAACAGATCATTTTATTTTATTATTGAACAAATAAAAAATAAAAAAATGAAGGCTGTAACGGATTCAAGCCAAATAGGTGAATCATAACCCTAACAGACAGTCATCTTAATCATACCTTCATATAGACATCGATATCTTTATCAGGGATAATATTTGCCTCTTTTTCTCTTCTAGAAACTTCTGCTAGCATATCTGCACAATAAGAAATATATTATAGTCAAAACTAAGTTATTGTTTCAAACACCAGAGCTTCTGTTTTCAAAATTGTACTAGATGAAACTAAAAAGAAAAAAACAATTGATTACACTAACCATATCGAGCCCCAACACCTTGGAATCTGGCTGAGAAGGCTAAGGTTTCTCTTACGGTCATTTCTCCAATATGAAGATCATTTTGACTGACATAAACAGCTGTTCGCTCGGGTACAAATTCATTAATCCCATGCCCATTATAAGTCACCTTTCCAGAGAACTATTCAAGAATGCACATTTTATTAGCCAAATAACAAAAACTTAAAAAAAATAAAGCAAAAACATGAAATCATATATAGTTAAACAATAAGGTATATTTTCATTTATATCCTAACCTTGAGTTCTGAATCAAGTTTTCCAGCCAAGGCCAACAAGAGAGTGGTCTTTCCAGAACTTGGAGGTCCCAAAAGCAATGTCATCCTGAAGAGGAACAAATGTTACATTGATTTACAATGGTCCTAGCTAATAATTATGCTCCGTTCTTTTTTATAATTACCTGGCAGGTTTTATTATTCCACTAACATCCTGGAGAATATTTATATGTTGTCTTCTTCTTCTTCTAAACATAGAATTCAGTAGGCCCTTTAGAAACCCAAAAAAAAATAAAAAAATAAAAAAGAATTAGTATATTAGAGTCTCCATGAATAAGAATATACAACAAGCTCTATGATGTTCATGTTCATGTTCATGTTCATGTTGAATGTTAGTACTTCTTACATCTACTATATCAAGCATGTAGTTAGTGACAGTGGGCAAAGCTCTGCTTCCTACATGAACTTCTGCTTCCACCTTCAAGTTCTCAAATCTGACTTCTATTGTAGGAAAATCAATACCAACTCTGTGATGTGGAAAAGCCATATCAGTGCATTTCAAAACGCATAAAAAAAGCCAAAAGAAAGGAGAGATTAATGAATGCTCACGTATCAATGCGATTCCTGAGCTTCAACAAAAACTTTTCGTTGTCCTCATCAGCTACTTTCACAAGTCTTTCAAGCAAATCTCTCCTTTCTTGCAACCCAAGTTTCTTGATGTCAATCTCATTAGCCTTCCCATCTTGGTTAGTGAGAAGACCTTTCCTCAAACGTGAAACCGTAGGAAGCCTCTGAATAGCAGCCCATTTGAGAGCTTCTTCATCATCCTCTTGGTGGTGAAAAGAGTTAGAGAAGATTTCCATATCACTGTTCCTCCAATGTGGTGAACTTCTGAAACTCCTCCTATGGCCATCCTCATCACCCTCCATTACCACTTCCCAGATAAACAACCAAAAGCTCCTCCTTTCCTGTTTTCCTGAATGAGTAACAATAGAGGTTGATATATATATATGTTAGAGCAGAAGTTTCCTAATATTGTTGGCTGTTGTGATATGTATCTTATATTGTATTTATTAGGATTATTTCTGTACCTAGTTGCTAGGTTCTTATCGACTTGTTGCACTTCATCAATGGAATGAACAACGAATGTTTGATGCCATTTAACAATATATATATATATATATATATATATATATATATAAGATTCGTTTTTTCTGCGGTTACTGCGGATAAGTTATCTGCAGTAAGCTAATATTCAGTAAGCCAATACGACGTCGTTTTGAGACGGAAATCATGGTGTTTTTGTAATTTTAATTTATTTCAGGGTTATAATAGTCTTTATATTTATAATTTTTTAAGATTTCAATACCAAAACGACATCGTTTTGGGAATAAATGCAGATAACTTATCTGCATTAACTGCAGAAATATTTTTCATATATATATATATATATATATATATATATATATATATATATAATTATTTGTCACCGTGTCAAATTAAAACATAACTTTTGATTTCCACCAATCAATGGTTATTATTTATTGAGAATCAAACTTCTTAATTAATATTAATTTCTAATAAATGATAACAGTTGATTGGTACAAACAAATGGGAAATTCATTTAAGACATTTCTGTTTTATTTCGAAGGTTTGAAAGATATTTAAGTACCCAATAAGCTAAATAAGGCTAAATTTAAAGTTTCTAATCAATGTGGAGTCATTAATGCCACAGCTGGAATACATTTAAGCCTTACCCTTAAGCATTTACGTGTGAATATCGAAGTCAAATGATTTTTTTCCAAAATAAGAGACACTTTCCAAAAAGAAAAAGGAATCAAACAAATTTTTTGGCAAGGATTTTAAATCATATTGGCTTATGGAAAAAGATTGCTTGGGAAGAAAATATTTCAACCAGTATCTGCTAAAATTAATTCTGTTCATATATACACGCGTGAATTTAAAGACCCAACTTATATAATTAACAGAAGGATCTCAAGTTTATAAAATGTGTAGTTTTTCTTTTTCGGTGCTCTCTGTTCTCATATTTCCGAGATAATTAAGATTACATGATAAATGATGTAAACGTAACGGCTGACATCATCATGTAAACGTAACGGCTGACATCAGCTAATAGTTAATCTTTCACACTACTGAAAAGGAAAATGAATATGTAAGGATATTTGTTTGTGCATTAACTTAATCAAATCAATTTAAAAGTTAAATAATTCCACAGCAAGACAATGGTGACACTGTTGAGAGATGTGAATTTTCATTCTTTACTGTACTTGCCTCCTTTTTTTTATGTCTTTACCTAAATTTTGGTTTAACCACCAAGTTTTTTTTATATAAAAAAAGTGTACATATATAAAATAAAGTTTGATTTTTTCTACGGTGAATATAGATAAATATCTATATTGAATCAAAAAAGACGTCAATTTAGGACAGAAATCAAGATTTTTTATAATTATAATTTATTCTAAGTTTATAGTAGTCTTTATCATTATAATTTTTTAATCTCTAAACTCAAAACGACATCATTTTAAGAGTAAAAATATATAACTTATGATGTAAAAGCATTAAAGCCAATAAAAAATAATTATAAACAAAAATTGTTCAATATTCAACAGTTTATAATATAATGAGTTTTGATTAAAAAAATTTGTAGAAGACTATGTGTCAACCGTTATAATAAGATGTAAAAATAATTGAAAACGGATAATCGATATTAAAAAAATCACTTCAACGATATTCATGGTTTTATGAAATATACACAAGAAATTGAAACATGATAATACAAAATTAAAATATAGCGTATGAAAACATATGAATGCAATGAAAGAAAATCTGAGCCCAGTGTTAAAAATTATGTCCTTAAGACAATTTTGTCCTCTTCATGGTGCCCAAAATTCATGAATAATTGTCTCTCATGATAGAACAGATTATCTCTATTCTTGTGGCAGTACTTCACGTAGAATAGTCTAATCGAACTCAACATATGTTTGGTCAATCACACTAGAGTAGAAGAATGAAAATGCATGTATAAAATCAATTGGAAAAAACTCATATTAAAATCCTGATTCTTTATTTATTTATAAAAAAATGTATTGTCACGATTTAAATTACACTCGTTTAAGAATGAAATAACACATCTCTTCAAAGAATAATGACACATTTTTTCAAATTAAACGTTTTATTCATAAAAATAATTAATTTAAAAATTAATTCCAACGTCAACAAAATAGAACAATAATAAACTATTTCTAGATAAAATAATTTTAGTGTCGGGGAAAAAAAGTGTTAATCTCAAGAGAATTATTACTTTACCAATCAATTTTCACTTAAAATGAGAATTTATGATTGTGAAACTATTTGCTTCTCGGTAGCCCGGAACGGAAGAACTCCAATGTTAAGCGTTCTTGATTTGGAGCAATTCTGGGATGGGTGACCTCCTGAGAAGTTTTCCCAAGAAGTGTGCGAGTGAGAAAAAAACACACTGAAAAGTCTCGTGTTAGTATGTGGGGATATTCATTGATTCTTGAAGCGGTCGAGCGTTACAAGTGGTATCAGAGCAAGGTCTCTCTTCCAGTACGGTGTGGTTCGAGGACGAACCAGGCGGAAGCTGATGGGCATGTAACTTCCCGAGCGCTGACGAGGGCGGGGAGTGATCGTCGGTGCGAAAGGGCATGGTGCAAAAGGGCACAAACAAGGAGCAGCTCCTGGCAGGCTTCCAGCGACGGGTGTACATGAATGAATCGAATCAACACCGAAAAAAAGGGATTCTAGAGACTGTGCTGGTATGGGACGGTACAGTTAGGAATAGCTTATAAGAATTAATTGGTACTACCTATACTAAAAGGATGCATATGCTTTTCGGTAGCCCGGAACGGATGAACTCCACAGTTAAGCGTGCTTGACTTGGAGCAATTCTGGGATGGGAGACCCCCTGGGAAGTTTTCCTGGGAAGTGTGCGAGTGAGAAAAAAGCACACTGAAAAGTCTCGTGTTACAACTTTCATTTTTTTCACACTTATGTCAATCATATGTCAATCCACAAGTCAAGATCGTAATTTCTTAAACCCATTTATTAGACCATTTAAGGATGATTACTTGCACCACAAGCAACCACATGGTTTCATACTTACACAGGGTCCTAGAATTACCCCACCAAGCTCTAAAATAACTTTTACAAAATTTAATATTTCTTAGCCCCACAAATTCCTACATGGCCAAAGCCAATTCCAAGAGGATGCTAGGGAGTTTCATCAATTCAATTTACACAACTAATGGTTCTAAAATCCTCACTTGGCCCCTAGATTACTTATGTATCCATATAGTAATTTAATCATAACTTTTGCCCATTCCTCCTTCACAAGGCCTAGGGGTGCACATATAGGGAACCAAGATGTCTTTCGCCATTTCTTAAGTTATTGCAAATCATAATTATACCAATGAAACACATTGGGATGTCAACACATCATCAAAATAACTTTTACACAATCAACCCCAATTTGGACCCTAATGGCCGAACCTACAAGGAAGGTTTCCCAGGGATGTTCTCTTTGTAGTCTCAATTTTACACTTAAATCTCAACATCCACACACATACAAACCTTCACAATTCATGCAATTAAATTTCTGCACATAAAACCCTTTTAAACCTACCATGGCCGAACCTAGTGGGAGGAGTGCAAGGGACCTTTTTCAAAATTTCTACTCATATTCATGCTCATCTCATATTAACACTTCATATACAACATTAATTCATCAACCAATTCAAATTTCAAACTCAATAATTTCCCACCAAAAGTGCTCATATTTTTCAAAACTCAAATCATGAAATTCAAACCATAGGAATGAGGATTTCTTACCTCTAATCACTTGTACAAAGCCTAGAGAACAATCTCCAAGCAAAGATCCCTCAAAATCTTCACTTTCTACACTTTATGAATAGTAGCTCGAAAAAGGGGAAGGGAAGAACTCCTCACACAAGCAATTTCAGCCCAAACCAAGTGGTGGAATGGATTCCTTAGGTGATTTACTATAAATTTTGTGTAATGCACTCAGGGATTTGGTTGAGTGAGAGAGGAGAAATCAAAGAAGGAAGAAGGCGAAAACCTAGTTCCATGGAAGGTGGAGGTAGACCTTGAGGAGAGAGAAGAGGGAAATCAGATGTAAATAGTGTCATACTTTAGTGACTTGGACTTATATGCACATGTGGCCTTTTACCGATTGTTTTCTTCTCACTTAATTTCACTTAACTTGACCCGGTACTAACTCAAAGCTACGGACACAATTTTACTTTTCTGAACTTATTTACATTAATTTTTATTTCCTAAAGAACCATATTAACAATTCACAGTATGGTTTCTGCACCGTTTTTAACGAAATGCACTGTGAATCACTAATTGTGCATTGTTTGCATACGAAACTTAAAACTTATAAACTTATCACTTTTGGGTCTGACATGACTTTTTTGGCATATATTGGACTTTCATATATTTATTTCATCATTTATTCACTTCTGGACTTTACCGGTTGCTTAAACAGCGATACAAAATACTCGGCAGAAATACTATTCATGAGATTTTCACGGAAAGTGCCAGACTATATAATTTTTCGTTCTGAACTCATATTTGGCATCAGAATTGTCAAATTAGGTCTCTAATCTCATTTTGCTCATTGCAACAATCTACCGGTTGCTACACACAGTGCAGAGTACCCGGCAGAAGACACTATTCATGACTTAGTCATGATTACAGTCAAAACACTCGAAATTACGTTCTTAATCTAATTATGACATTTAAATCTTTAAATTAAATCTCTAATTAAGATTTACCTGACGAGGGTCATTAAAGTATTCTTTGTTAGGAATCCTCTTCAGAATTTTAAATT